GGCCTCTGTGGAGGGCCGCAGCCTCGGCCTCTGCCGGCCCCGCAGCCTGGTTGTTTTTCCGTGCTGTCTAGCCAAGGAGCGCTCTGCGCTGCTGTCCCCTCTGGTTCACGCCAGGGACAGCTGGAGGAGGCCTCTTCCCGCTGCTCGGGGAACGGTTACTGCCATAAGAGGTGGTAGCAAAGGCGGCTTCCCTAGCCCTAGCCTGGCCCATGCCTGGCATCTGCCCTCCAGAGAGGGTCAGGCCGTCACTCTGTTCGCTCTGAAAAGCCTTAGGGTGCTGGTGCTGCCACCTTGTGCTTGAGAGCGGCGGGGGAAGTACAGCAGCTGCCAGGAGGGCTGAGAAAGGTTGGAAGCGTGCTCATCCCAGTGCCATCTAAGTTGTGCTTCCGGGGGAAAGAGCGTAGAGAGGGTGTTCTGTTTCGTTCCTGTGACTTCCAAGCTATGCATAGGAATTTGAGGTGCACGCCTTCTGGAGCAGAGGACAGCATGAGCATGTGGAAAACTTGTTCAGAAGCTAATCGAGCTTCACTCCTCCCGTATCGTTCTGTATTGTTCTCCCGTATCTTTCAACTGCCTGAATCATCAGAAGCTGGCAATGCCCACTTCTCCGGCAGGCCGCTAGTCCTAGGTGCTCTGAGTGTTTTCTAAGGCTTGCTGCTGTCTGTGTAATATTCATGCTGCCTGTAGTGGAGGAAGTCATTTCGATAGAAGAGCATCTTGAGAAGAAAAAAGTTTTGGGAGAGGAAGAACACCAAAACCACTGATGAAAGCGAGTCTTTTAAGTGGCAGTATGAAACCTTACAGTGTGGCCACATGATGGCACCGTAATGTTAAAAACTGAAGGGACTCTGAGTAAGCGTGTGTGCAAGTCTAATTGTTGGAGGTTATCTCTTCAGTGCCTTGGGATAGATACTAAACATCTTTAAAACTCTTTCCTATGCTTATGTATTTTAAAACACTTAGTATTCATCCTCTTAGGGTCAGAGTGAGTTATGGGCTAAACCTCTTCCGTGTGTAAAAATAAACAAAAACAAGTGTAGTATCAACCAAAATAGGCTATTTAATAGACAACTAGTGACAAGCAGTTAAGCACAGGGATCATGTCTTGATGGTCATGTGTTATCTGATGATGTTGGTTCTTTGTCCAGTTGTTAAACTCTCATTTTTTTCTGCCTGCTTTTTCAGCATTATAGCAACCTGCTATAAAGAGGAATTTCTTCTTTCTTTTTTAATTCTATTGGGCTATCAAAAAGAAGAGGGCAGAGGGGAAGAGAGAGGATCAAGAAATCTAACACACAAAAGTCAACCAACTTTAATGGATTGTATAATACAAAATATTATTACAGTCTGTTGGCAGAGTCCTTAATTCAATGTACCAGCAGTGTTACTGAGCACTTATTTGATATGTCCCCTCGAAGCATGGTTCCCTGCTTACTACAGTGAGCAGCTTGTTCTCGCTTGCTGAAGCATGGTCCCTTCTCAGTGAAGTGAAGTAATAGAAACTCTTGAGAGCTGCTCGTTCACCGCTGATCCACTGGACCACAAAACTCTCAAAGTTCCAACTTTGCCTCTTGGAAGTTGCTTGTCACTTGGAAAGATTCTTGCTATAGGAGATAATACTGCAAAGGATCAGGGCTCTTCTTTGATACACCTCTCAAAAAAGCATGCCCCTCTCCTCTTCCGTGTTTGATTGTCCTTTTCTTCTGCAGGGATGGTTATGTACTGTGTATGGCACTGAAACCTAGAAAATAATTTCTTAAAGGCAGTGTGCCTTGGGGTCCAAATGAATGATTTTGTCGAGAACAGAATAAATCACAAAAAGATTTTCATAAATGTGATCTAGAAGAAAAAAAAAAGCCAGCCTGACAAAAGTTACTGCATGTAGCTTCCTATCCCTTTAAAAATGAAATGCATATATTTTGCATTTTATGCTGAAATTACCTGATTTCTACTTATAGTGATATAGTTACCTGTTTTAAAAGCATATACAAAGTCCAGAAGGTGACTGATGCAACAATGCCTTAAAAAAGGATGTGCATCTCTAACGACTGTGAATTAGAAGACATAGTATAATTTTCTTATACTTCCCATGTGGATGTAGTCCAAAAGTGGTGCTTAATACGATAGAATAACTTGAAACAAGTGGTCTGATGAGCAAAGATTTCCCTATTGCACTTCCTGTTTTCACAAGCACTTAGCAGTGTAAGATTTCTTTGGGGCTGTTGGAAACATTTGCTTATTTGGAAATATTATCTAAAAGGATATTTAGAGGAGCTGGGAAACAGAAATAACCCTACCAGATAAGAACAGCAATCAGAACATTGTTTTTTTATATTTCTATTTCCAGAGTTGGCCAAAACCAAGTGTCTTAGGGGAAATGTAACAAACACTAGGAAGGACAGTTTGGCATGAATCAAGTAATCGTGCAGATAAGGTATGACCTTAAGCACGTTAGTATCCCCATTCTTCAATTTTTCTGTGTGTTCAAGTGCTCTGCAGGATCTGACCTTTAGCAAAAGCCCAGTCATAGATGGCCGTCAATCTTACTAATTAAGAAAGCTTTTATTATCTTTAAAACTACCAAATGGCATAAAAATGGTCGTATCATTTTTGGTAGCCCCCAAATGATACCTACTTGTAAAACCAGGAAGTGCCCCTTGACTTTGTGGATCAGTGAATTCTTTCACTTGTTCCTATGTTTTGATAACTTAAAAATTCATGGCATATGCTTATCTCTGTAAACATCTGGGTCAACCCTATTTAGAAAACGTTTCCACACCTCTAATGCTGTTGTGTTTTTGCAGCCACTACCACTGCATTAATTTCATATTTTAAGTTTTTCCCTATAACTATGCTGGTTAGCAAAATGGCAAAAAAATCACTGCACTGAAAAAAACAAAACCCTATTGACTGATAGTACACATTTGATCTACCCTAGTTAAAGCTCCATGTGTAATACTGTAATGTTTAAATGTTGCAAACACATTGCTTTGCTGATCAACGTTAGTCCATTGTATATTTGATTAGCTTTTCAATATGAGTAACATATAAAACAGCAATTGATTGAGAGAGCCTCCTGAAATACCCAAACTCTTGAGTAACTTAGGTATTGACATCGAATAGTTAAGACTAACATGAGAAAAGACCCAAAATATTGGTACTTGACTGTACACAATGAAACAATACCTTGAAATATTAGAAGCTCTTTTAAATATATAACATTTTCCCTTATCCCTTCTAAAGATTCTATATCACAGACCTCCATAATTTAGCGTTATCTGCACAAGTACACAATTAGGCTGGTAAAGCGTGGAGCTGACACTGAGTTTAAATGAGTGAGATATCTTGTGTAAGGTCCAGTCAAGAGATGTTTCCAAAGAACCAGTATCGATTTCTAACCTCCTTTTGAATTAATTCAAAAATTCTGTGTATGAGCCTGCTAGCTTAGTGTGCAGAGAAAGCCTCCAGTCTTTGGGAGTTTTAGGTCCTTCAGGATAAAGCTATGCTTTTACTTTCACAAAAAAAGAGAATACTTCTTTCCTTGCAGAATCCTACATTTGCATATCCAGCTAGCTAATTTGATCCATCCTTTTCATTTATGTACAAATACCCATATGAATGAACAAGTACAAGGTTTGGTAGGCGTATGTGCCGTGTTCTTCTGTGGCCACCTTAGAGACAATATCCAGACAACAGCTTTCGAGGCTTCCTTCACAGAATTGATTTCACAAAAGTTAATTCCACTTTTTCACTAGACACAGTTTACAATGCAGCAGAAACTTCTTGCTCTCCAGTGGACTGTGTGTAGGTGGAGCTAGCCCGTTCAGCTGTGTCAGCATAGAAAACTGGACAATATTTAGAGAAGCGGGTTGCAATGTGCTTTCGGAAAAAGCAATGAAGGTACTTCCTAAACTTTTCTCCAGCAAAGGCATAAATCACAGGATTGATACAACAGTGGATCATTGAAATTGTTTCTGTCACTTGGATGGCTTTCCCCAGTTGACCATTGATTTCACAAGTATTGAGGGATAATGACACTTGAAAATCACGCAAGAGAATAGTGATATTGTATGGTGCCCAGAAAAAAAAGTAGAAAATCATGATGATAAAAATGAGCCTGACTGCTTTATGTTTCTTCTCATTCCTACATTGCAGTAATGTCTTTATAATTTGTGTGTAGCTGCAGATCATAATGAGCATGGGGACAATAAGTCCCAGTATGTTCATCTTTAAGGTCAAGAACTGCTTCCATGCATTTCTTTGATCTGGTGGATAATGAGCACTGCATGTATAACGTGAATATTCCTTTTGGCTTTTGTGAAAAAAGAAGCCTGGGAGAGAGACTGAAAGAGCAACAACCCACGTGACAGTGCTGGTGAGGATGCCATAGGTAACTGTCCTGGCTTTTAAAGCAAACACTGCATGCACTATGGCCAGATACCTGTCTATGGTCAACAGGATTATGAAAAAGATCCCACTGTAGAAGCCAAGGAGGTAGACGCCTGAGAGAATTCTACAGAGTGCGTCTCCAAAAATCCACTCCTGGGCGGCATAATAAGCCCAAAAAGGGAGGGAAAATATAAACAGCAAATCAGAAATTGCCAAATTGAGCAGGTAGATGTCGGTCATGCTCTTCAGTCGCTTGTATTTTACCAGGATAAGGACAACAAGCACGTTGCCGATGAGGCCGAATATCACCACCAAGGAGTAAAGCGGTGGCAAAAATTTTCCTGCAAAGTGCCTTTCCTCGGTATTCTTGCATGCTGTTGCAGCACCATAGTCAAATTCTGTTGTCAGTAGCAAGCTGTCTAAGTCGGTCGTGTAGTTTTCCATCTCTAGAAAGGAAGAAAAGGAGGTTTAGCGGCAGGAAGCTCCATAGCCTTGCGTTGAAGGGAATGAAGCACGTTGCTGCCCTCATCTAGATTACTTATGGCTCTTGAGCATATAAGCCTTGCTTATGCTAAGGTCTAGAAGAAAATGGAAGTTGCAGAGCGTGCGCGCGCACACGCACGCACACACGCGCAAATCTCTATAGCCATGAGTCAAGTTGCTGCATGTTAGAAGTGTGCTACATGCTATTTTCCACATGTGCTCTGCATGGTCCGTTTTTCCTCCCCTGGAGAGCGTATCAGGCTTCGGAGCCAGCTGGAAGCAGAGGAACGATGAATTGAACACTAGCAGTGGTTAGTTTGGGGCCGTTGCGCTCAGCAGTGGCTTTCAGAAGAGCCAAAGAGAGACAGGAAGGGGAAAGCGCAGTGGCTGGGATGCAGCGCGTGGCTGTGCTTCTCCTCAGCAGCCCGGCCACGTTCACATCGTGCAGCCCACGCTGCGGCCCTCACCCAGGGAAGGCCGGGCGCTGGCAAAGGTGCTCTGGCACGAGTGAGAGCTGACTGACTGCTGGGTTGTCCATGCCTTGCTGAGAGCCTTAATGTCAGTGGGAATGAGATCGCTGGTGGTGTAGAAATGATCTTGCTGCAGCACCAAGAATACTCACCCAGTGAATCTGCCATCCTGGCTGCTGCGGAGCTGGCAAGTAGGCAGTGTTGATCTGGGATGAAAAGGCAAATGTTGCACAGTTCAGGTCAGGCGGGGGCCATGAAAATGTGCTGCTTCTAGGTATATGTGGAATGAAAGCAGGTTGCAGTCATGTCCCCTGGGGAAGACGCTTGGCGTTTTTCGGCTGATGATCTGCATGGAAATTCACAATTGAAAGAACAGGTAGGCAAACAGCTTCTAAAATGGCATAAAAGATTTCAATTTCTGTCAGCGTGACCTATAAATCTTCTACCCAGTAAATGGACAAGAGGTAGTGCATTTTTAGCACACCCAGGGTTTTATTTGAGCGTACTGTTCAGGGTTTTACCAGAAACTACTCTTTCATCAAGTTCTGAATTTTATTTTCTTTCAAAAGGCATTTTTTTTGACTGATATCAAATGTGGCATCTTTCTGACACTTGAAACGTTTCCTGCTGTGCAAGCATATGCCATTCAAAATGCTGGTGCCCCCCTCTTAGTTTGTATCACAGAGGATAACATCATAAAACCTAAGCCTGAGATCCTGGAGAAGGGACTGGTTCTTGGTAGGTCTGTGTCTGCTTGTTTATGACCTTAAAAAGGAGTCAGTCCTGACCTGCCAGCTCCTGTGGAGTTTCTTTTGCAGCACAGTGCAGCTGGGAAGCTGCACAAAAATCAAAAGACTTTATTGGATAAACAAAATCTGCAGCTTTTAAACACGAAAGAGATACTGTTTTTGCAAACCTTTCCCCCACCCCTTCCCTGTTTTGCAGAGTCTGGCTGTTAACTCTGTTCCCAATATCTCAAGAACGAGAACTTCCATGTTCTGGTATAGCTCTGCTGTATTGTCTTTTGGAGATCAAAGAGTAGGGGAAAACTGGCAAGTTTTAACAGTTCCAGTCTCAGCTATATCTGAATACAATTTCTTGGGGAAAATAAAAGTGCAGTCAGACTCCTCAAAGAGGATTGCCTTTCAGGAAGCTCTGACCACCTCTGTGAAACAGTTTTTTCCATAGCTGCACTAACTACATAGTCATTGCAATACTGAAATCATGATTTGGTTGGTAAAGGAAGTGGCTGTGGCTCAGGTATGCTGACAGTAAATAAGCTAATTTATAAGCTGAAGTATCTAAGGGGTTATACTTTTTTAAAACTCTCAGCAATTCTCTTAGAAGAAAGTACCTTGATAAAAGAGACATTGGTCCAAAACGTTAACTTGTTCATTTCACAAACATATCAAGAGTTGGGCACTGCACGAGTATTTAAAATCCCCTTCAGCTAGATCTAGATTGCATGCTCTGACATTACCAGGTGCTGGAACTGCCTATAGCTAAGTATCCCTGTTTGTGATGTATCAGCCAGTACACTGGCACCACAGGATGAGGGATTGATTGCAGCCTCAACATGTCCTGGGATCATGGCCAGTTTGACCCTCCTTCCTCAGCTGGCTATTCATTCGGGAGAGCACCAGTGGTTGCTGAAAACCAAAAGGTCGTCTTGCTCAGCAGAAGCAAGTTCCTTAAAATAGGTGTTCTGCCAAGGTGGAAGGATTTGAAGCCAAAGCCCAGAAGAGCAATTGCAGCCACAAAGCAGGCAGGAGGCCATCTAGCACATCAGCGGGCTGGTAGCACATGCTGCACCCTGCAGTGGTTATGAAGGGTATTGCCCATCTTGATAACTCTGGATCCTTTTGTGCCCGCATGATGCTGATATGTAAACATGGTTATAAAAAACACCTGGGCCATAAATCCAAAGTGGGATTTCGTGAGTATGCAACTGTTTAATAGGATACTTGCAAATGTTATTGCAGAATGCTGCCTTGATATTATTGCAACAATTTCTTTCATGACAGCCCCTTCTTCCTGCTAACTGCTGTCTCAGTGCCTTCCCTCCTCCTTGTCCTTTCCTCTGCCCTCTTGGAATAACTCCCAAATATTTTCTGCACCTTATCTTCTTGCTTTCAACCCCTTTTGCATGCTTAAATTGTCATCTTCCCTCTGAGTGGTTCCTCCCACTAGCTGAGCCCCATTCCTCTAGCCTAGTCTTTGCTTCAGAAGCCTCTGTCTGCAAAAGTACTTATTATCCTGAGTTGTGTACAGTATCCAGTGTTTGGTGATAATGGAAAATCTACAGATACTAATTTAGAAAACAGATAAGGGAGTCGTCAAGTGTTTATGTGCTTTATCCTATAGTCTCGCTATTTTAGGAAACAGATTTGGCCACTGACTAGAATTCTTCACTGGATTAATAGACCTAGAGTTGTATTGTTAATTAGTCCCCTGCTGGGCTTATGTTTCCTGATCATTAGGGGAAAACCAAAGATAATCCTGAAAGATCTCTGAAGGAAGAATATTTCAAAAAGAGGTATATATTGTTCTGAGTACAGCTTAGATATAGTCAATTGTTCTAGAAATCTGCAATCTCCAATACTAATTTTGTTACTCTGGTTGAAACTAGCAGTCATTCAGTTTTCAGGTCAAAAAGCTCTCCATAGGGAAGTTGAGCAAACACAGATGTTAACTGTTTCATGCTGAGTTTCAGGTCAAAACTCTCTGTTTTCAAAGAGAAAAAGGTTTTATTAAAGTGAGTGTCAGCCACAGTTCATTTGCACAGCGCTGTAAAATGGTAAGAATTAAGAATGTGTAGTAAACAGAGCTAAATGCTATGCTATGTAGCATGTAAACAGGTGTCATGAGAAAGAGTTGTTTAAATTGCATCAGATTTTCTATAGTCATCCTGCAAGAGGAATAAGTACTCTCCACACAGATAAACTACTTTGTCTTTGCAGTAACAATTTTAAAATCAGAATTTCCATCATGATATATCGTCTTCAGAGAAAAATGTTGATGTATATATAGCCTGTTAATCAAAGAGACATATTATTCCATTGCATTCTTACCCAGATCACCCTCTATGAATTTGTTTCCCTGCTTGAATCTTCTAGAGGTTCTGTCCTTTAAAAGTAGTTCATTCCGTTTAACATATCCTATGCTTTTCTCCAGGGTACTTTTTAAAGATGAGTGTGCTGGCAAGATTCCACAAGTGTTTTTCTCGTGCAGCATTAGACTACATAAAGAGCTACTAAATCCGCAGATGAAAAAAAGAAGGCAAAAATGACTTACCATATATCTTACAGTTCAAGTGATATCTTAGATTATCACACCAAGAGTATCGCTAAATCGGTTTGTTACTCAGTAGAAGAAGCTCAAAAATACCTCTTCCGGCCTGAAGAAGGGTGTACCAGTTTGCAGACTTCTAGCAAGCAAATCTGTTTTCATTTAAAAAAAAATCAAGGAGCAGTTCTCTTTTTTCTATAAATGGGTCATCAGATGTTACTTTTCTAACTATGTGAGATGTGCAAGAAGATGTTGAAATATGTGGAGGATCCTCCTAGTAGCTGAACTCAAGGTTTCACAATCTACAGCTGTAGCTATAGAAAAAGATTTTATATTGTTATTTTTTTCTTTTTCTTTTAACTAACCTCTTTAAGACAAGAATAGTTTATGTGAGGTCCATCCTTTTACATTTCTCAGCCATATTTCTTCTATGCTATTCATCCCTTAACAGAAAGTGGAAAAGTTAGCTGACACTTTTATTAATTTGTATCTACAGAATCACCTGTACTTTGTGTTCACTTGCTCTGCATTGCCGTCCTTGAATCTTAGGAGATTTGGTTGATTCCCTCAGTCTCAAACTTGGTCTTTTGGACCATTTTGCTTAATCCCTTTCACGATTCCCTGACTGCAACTTAGTCTATACAGTGAGTCTCAGCTTCTCTTAAAACAACACTGTTGCTTGCTGGTTGGAATTAAGCTTCAGAAAAGCCTAATAGAATCTGATTTCTGATCGGTTTATTTCCTATAGTTGACTCCTGTGACTTTCAGACAGAATTAAACTAAAGCTGCAGCATGAGCAGAGGTCCTTCTTAGACATCCAAGAAACTGCATAGGAGGTAGGAAGAGCACAGAGAAAGAAAGCAAGTGAGAGCTGATGCCTTACCAGATGCCTGAGAATCCCTGAGAGGGAAACACTGACTATGACGCCTAATAACGTGCAATCCCCTGTCCCCACTTGACGCATCCATAGCATCTTGCTTTGGAGGATTCCTGAAGGGATGTCTTTCCTGTGCTTAGCCATCTATTTTCACAAAAATTAAGGAAACTTTGTGCCTTTAAAGGATTTTAAAATGCTAAAAGGCATTTTAAAATGCTAAAGGACATATCTTGCTTTAAATGCTGCCATTCATTAATGGAGGTCAGGGGAATCACAGCTTCTGAGTTACACCTCAGATCCGGAGGGAGAGAGTGAAATGGAAAAGCTTAGCCTGTCTCCCTTGTCGGTTCTTGTTTGCCTGAGGGGCTAACCAAGGTCTTTATTCTCGAGGATAAATAAATTTTCCTCTTCTTTTTTGATCAGCTCTTCCAATGAGCTCTTCAAGGGCTGGAGTCTCAGCATCAAAATGAATGGCTGCTGCAGTTTATTCTAAGGGTATATTCACCCTGTCTTTCTTGATGGACTGTGTTAGGTTCACTGTACAGTCAGTGGAAGGAGCTGCTTCTAAAAATGGTTCCTGTGCACCTAGATAAAGATCCTAACTGTTGTAACTTGGCTGACTTGAATCACGCCTGAAGAATCATGCCTACATCTCTCTACTGATGAAACAGTAGTGGGGAAGATGAAAGAAAAATGTTAATTTCCTTGCTGAACTATTAGAGCTTGCAAGACTAGGCCAGATTTTCAGATTATGGTCCATAATCCTGCCTCTGATAGTGGTGAAAAGTAGGTACAGGAAATGCTGCCTGAGTTAGCTGAAAAATATCCTAGCCACACAGAGAATTTCTTCCTAAACCTCAGTCACTGTAGGTGGGTTCACATTTCTCACCTTGAATTTATATCCATTCTAAACATTTTTTTCTTAGTTTCTTATTTTACTTATTTAACGTAGCAGTAATGAAACACAGAGAAATACACAGTTCAATGTTTGTGTCATAACCACAAGGGGGCAGATTGTATGTGTCACAGTATCATGTCAGTTATCCAGCTCCATGGGGATCTCGGATTGAAATTTTTTTAACACAGGCCTACTACTCAGTGTGTGAGCCGACAGCCACCTGTACGGTGTGAGAGTGCGTGGTTACCATCAGACTGTAGCAGGGCTTTACAGCCACAGTGCAAGCTGACACAGGAGCACACACCGCACTGACCAGATACCACTGGGCTAAAGCCTCCTTAATCCTCTCCAAGTAAATCTGTGACTGCATAGCTACTGCAGTTCATCATCTGAGCTGATGAACATGGTATGACAGGAGTTCATGACATGTCTTCAAGACATGAAGAGGCAGACCGTGACCTGGAAAGAGGGAGATTGCTCTGGTGGGGGCTGTCTGGGTCCAGAGGACATTTATTTCTTCGTTTCAAAAAACTTAAGGAAGGACATAATTTCTTACGCAAGTTACAGATGATGTCAAGTGAACTCAGCCATTTTTTATGTCCTTAGCTGAAAATAAGAAAATGCACATAATTTAGCTGGGCTTTCTGTTACACGTTTTCTATGCTTATCCACCTACAATCCCTCTCCTGGAGGCAGGAGAGCAGGAGCAGCTCTGCCCTACAAAATCCTATGGGCTGCTGCCAGTGAATTTGGGACAGGACAATTTTAGAAACAATTGTAGCAGGCAACATCAGGCTGTTACAAGGCTTTGCTAGCAGGGAGATTCTTTCACCATTTTGCATCTTCAAATTGTTTCCTTTTAGTCTGTTTATCCCCTCTTGCACATTGTTTGGTCCCCATCTCACTTCACAGTTCCTTGTTTCTCTTCTCTAGGAGAACCTTTCAAGTTATTCCATTTTTGTTTGAGTTCCTCTTTACGTAGTGGCTGAACGGCGCACAGGAGCAAGATATCCCATCTTCCAGAAATACAGTACAGTAGAGACTAACAGGATGTATATACACCTATATTTTTTGCACACTGTTGCACATAAAAATGGGGCTGGAACTTATTTGCCTTCAGAGAAGTGAACCGTCTAGTTAGTTTACAAACCAGCAAGGCAAAGACTCTTTGCCGAGGCTTTTATTTTCTGGTTTTGAACTGGAGCTCTGCAGAGCAGTTGAAGTGGAGCTGAGTATGCAGATTAACGGGAGATGGAGGTGAGGAAGGCAAGCAAGTAAGGGGGATGCCAAATGGTCCACAACATTTCTCTGTTGTCCCCAGTTTGTGGCATGGACACTCGGTCATCACGGCTCCCAAGCCAGACAGGCCAGTGTTACCTGCAGCTGTGCAAAGATTCTGCACTGCATCATTCAGGTGCATTATTCAAACCTTCGGGTTTTTTTTTTTTTTTAAGTAAAGCTACATATATGGCTATAAATATTAGAACATAGCATGCATTCACATAAGAAGTAAGGTAAGGAAACAGCGAAGATTATGAGGCCGTCTGGATTGTGGCTGGGCTCTGCTAAAAGCACTTGTGAGTATTTATTTACTCTGATGAGGTATCAAGCTGATTTTGCATAGCAGCTTCTGTCTGCTCGTGAGTTGTCTCTCATTATAGAAACAAACTAGCTTGCCTTGTGACATTAAAACATGGAGCATCACTTTCCTACAAGCACTTACTATGTTAAATTAGTGGTTATATTTGTATTACAACAGATTAGCACCAGCCCACACTTTGCTTCTAACATAATCTTTCCTAAAATTTCACAAAAACCTGCTCTCTTATCATGAATTCTTATCATTCTCAAATGAAGTATTATATCAAATTGATGTTTTCAATGATTCCTAAACAGTCTACATATTGAAATAAACAACATTTGGGGGATTTCTTTCTGTAGTGTGTCTCATAGTTCTCCTCGCTTAGTTCTCCCCACGCAGCGTTGTCTATTACATGTTACTTAACCTACCTTTCTTGAGCTCACTTTATATGAAGAAGGGAAACAAACTCAAATCTGTTGTTGAATTTGCCAGTTTCTTGTTAGACTTTTCTTTCTGAAATATCACAAAAATAGTCTCAAACATTTCAACTGAAATCAACAACTTAAAACTAAAATCTGTGGTAAGCTAGTCTTCAAAAGTAGTCCTTTGTCCTGCAGATTCATTGGCTTTGCTAATCTGTTCAGTTTCATTACCACTTCTTATTCTCATACCTCAATTTTATCTGATCAGCGATTGTAACTGAATATTTCATTGACTGATTACCACCGTAAGACTGCAGGGAGTGTCGGACAGTGATGGAAGGCCACTGCTGTTCATAAGCTGTTGCAGCTGACTGAGGGGAACAGTTTTGGTCTGCTCACCAGCTGGGTCTTAAAGGAGATGGGCAAGAGACTCCCCACAGAGTGAGTAGCTATAGTACTTCAGAGCACAAATGCAGGGACATGCTATGGTACCAGACACCTGGGCTGTGACTTTATTATCAGCACCTACAAGATAGGTTCAGTTGACTCTACATCTGCTACAGATAAGCTGAGCTGCAGTAAAGTCAGATTTGATCAGATCTTGCACATTGCTGTAGGCAAGTTAGGGCCCCTCGTGTTGTTTCCCAGCTGCTGGGGCCATATTGTGGTGTTGTGGTGTTGCCTGGTGCTGTTGGCTCACGATTTCCTTTCCTTCCCTTCTCAGCTCCCCTACTGCCCTTTGCCGCTCCTGAGACAGCTCTGCAAACCCTGCAGGACTCATCGTCCCATCCAGCCAGGGGCTTTCTCACATCTGCTGGGGATAGGCCACCCCCACCACCACATCTCCTCCTGGTGCCTTAAAACTGCCTCCATCTAGTGTGTGTCAGCACTGAGGTGGGGTCAATGCAAGTAACAGTCTTTGTTACAAGGTTAGTTTTTCTCAGCCCCTTGCCCAGCAGTTCTTTGAAAAAGTGCGCTGCAGCCATGCACACTGTCGCGTCAAACTGTGTTCATCAGTCTTATTCTATCCGATGACTAATTTTATGGTTCATCTTAATAGCCATCAGGCTCTCACGCTGCGGCATCCAGTTGCTTCATAGCTCAGTGGTACAGCACTCCTGCAGGGACCTGCAACCATTTGTGTGGAGCCTACACCAGTACAGAGGTATCTGCTGGAATGCGTACTAGATGCACACATACCACTGTGGTATATAAATGTCATCAAGCAAATTATGGGTACAGAAATTGGAAAATGCAACTAACAAATTCCATTCTATTTGATACAAATGAATACCATCCAAAAAAGGAAAACTGGG